TGAATTATAACTTTTATCTGTAATATGATCCAACTCGTTTTTTTTGTTTTGTTTTTGTATATCGATTCATAGGAATAGTTAGTTAAATAAAAGTATTCTTGTTAGTCATAATATTGAATAAATTCTTTAAATAATATTTAGAAAAACAACTTAATTAAAAAAATAAATCATGTTCATATTTTATATGTTCATCATAATAGATACACTACATTCAGTCGTATCAATATGTATAAGACCTAAAATATGATTTGACAAACTCTAACAATCGAACTGAACATTATTTGATCATATGCACATAGGAAATTGTTAGGTGTCAGATTTTTTTAGTTGCAACAATAACAGAAAAGTAACGAATAGATAAGCAATAAAATGTTTCTAGAACACAGAAAAGTTACCATAGTAAAAGTCTATAAGAATCGATCAATCGACTAAATAGGTCAAAGAATTTATTTTGTATGTGACTAAAAAAAACAAGACCTATGAACATAAGTAAAAATTTCGAAAACATCAAATAAATGTTATCAAGCAAATATTTGCCAACTAGGTATGATTAATAATGAGCCTTTAGTATTTAGGATAATATACTTGAAAGTAGCAACAAATGAATTTATTTTAATAATAATTCATCACAAATGAAGTTTTATCTTATAGAATTTTTGACCTTTTCTATTGATGCGTATGGTCATCATCAACAAGGGTAACATTAATTTGTAACCTTTCGTTGTTAAATAAGTAAAATAAACAAATACTAAGATTGATTTAACCTAAATTCTTTTATCATAACATTCGTACCAAATATAAGAATTGAGAGCAGATGACAAACAACTAATTAAAATGAAATACAAGTTACTTTATCCTTATAAGTTTTTGTTTAATTGATATTGTTATTCGTTTATTTTGCTTATTCAATAGCAAAAAGTCATAAAATGATGTCATCATTGCTGATAATGAACATACTAATCAAGAATAAAAAGATTAAAAACTTCATACAGTAAAACTTTATGTTTACTGAATTATTGTGAAAATTTGCTTATGAGTCTGCAACAATTTTACGGTTATCAGAAACTACTATAAAAAAAAGTTGCTTTATTTAGATTATGAAGAAGTTCATAAATCATATTCAGTGTTGAATATATGTTAGCTTGTCGTGACTAGTACAGCTAAAACAATAATATTTCATCGAATGAATAGAGAATAATATTCAACACAAAGAAAAAATGCCAACCACCTTTCATCATACTCCAAGGTTATGACATCAATATTTATCTTTTATAGTACTTATATTATGTCAATGAGAAAATGTTAGCATACATATATAAATATTGAAACAAGATTTGACGTGTATTATAAGATTTATAGAAGTGAATGTAAATCTCTGATGTAAATTTAAAGTTTGATTAAAATTTGATAAAACATAAATGAAGTGAACTTGTAGATTTCTTCATTCAAATAGTCTTATTTAAATCCTTTATTCTACAGTCAATATGATATTGTTGAAGAGAATATTATTCTTTTATTGACTAGTCATATTTCTGAATAATGTGTTATATAAAATAGATCAGAGTTTACATTGAAAATCGGAAAAAAATATCTTCAGTTCGAATTGAAAAAAAAAGCCAAGCATCGATAAAGAGAGCTTCTTGAAAACATTCTTCAAGAAGAAATTCCAAATTACTAATAATTGTCAGTTTTCACGATTTAACACAATGAAAGTGCAGATCCCTTTCCTAGATAGCATCAATAGCTTGTTGAAATTTGACAAACTTCTCTATCGATTTTCAGATAACACGACTACGTCAACCTAGAAAGATGATCTCGCAACACCTGCTTCAGTAACATTGCAAAGCTGATGGTAGGAATGACGACCAAAAGATGTGGGAGAGGGATTAGGAAGAAGATTGTGAGGGCATGCCTACATCAAGTTTCATTATGTTCCTAATCAGCTTTTGATAGCTAAGAGTTTTAATATCATACCACCAGAGAAAAAATGATACAAAAATATCTGTTGGAGATACAATACACGTAGATTCAAATATGGTAATCTTAAATAGACATTGTAGTTCTCTGAAATTTCCTATTCACCAATAGATATGAGGAGAGAACAAACTTATGAAAATAAATAGTAAAAAAGCACTAAAAAGGACTTTTATATTACTACTATGATGATTCGAAGGCAGATATAATTGATTGAGGGGTCGAATTAACTCTTATACGATCAGAAAATAATTCACGACAATCTATCGGCTGGTCCGATATGGTTATTTAGACTGGTACTGGTAAGAAAAATACCATATCAATTCTAACTGTGGATCTAACCCAAGTTCAGAAGTAAATCTCAACTAGAAATACTCGAGTCTGCTGCTAAATTTCCTTATGCCATGTATCAGTTGCTTAGAAAGCAGCAAAGAGGAAACAGTTTACGAAACGACAGTCATCTCAACTATAGTATTTTTTGAAACAGTTTTTATTAGACTTATGGTTCTTGAATTAATATGCTCTTTGTCACCAATTATTGGTTATCAGTTTCATCAAAGAAGTCTTTCTTTAGCTATTTTTTCATATTGATATGAACATATGTTTTTGTGTCATTTGTATTAAACATAAACTTTTTTCTCTTTATGAATATGCTTTTGAAAACACTGTGTATTCTAGAAAAGCTAGATTCTTTGAAATAGACAACGAGTGACACTTTATCTTTATTCTACTTTTAAAATTAAAATAACGTAGCTGATTTCCATTGTACCTCGCACAATAAAATAAAACAACTTGACTCAAAAGGTAAAGTGCGTTACAATAGTTTGAATTCATTGTTCCTCCACTCATATGTACTCCTTCATTATCAGTGTATGGTGGTTGGCCAGAAAATCAACAATAAATTTAAAAGATTATTATACACTTTACTTTTTCTTTTACAATCAAGATAAACACAGTATAGAAATCTTTTCGGAATAAGGTTCGGCTTTGAGTCAATGGCTGATTTTTCATTGGTCTGAACTGATGAATCAGTTGCACTTGAATTAGCGCATGTCTACTCAAAATACAAGATGTGTAGAAAAAAATAGATTATCTTGACTAGTATGTTATTATCGTCTTAGATATAATCTGAGAGCAGCTTAAAGAATGATTTCAAAAAGGTATAGATTGTCATTAGCGTCTATTTTTCTTTTCAGTTTTCGAGTTCGTTTCATAGACGAATATGTCAAAATAATCATTTATATCCTGAACCATCCTATCAGGTACTTTTTATTTATGAAAAACGACATATGAAATGCACATCAAGTAATACAAGGTTTTTCTACTTTGGTAAGTGACTTGCCAGTAATTTTATACGATTAATCACAATTAGCCGAAGGTTTTCTTCTACGGAAGAGCGGTTTGCTGCAAAAAAACTGATTTCATGGTAAAAAAAAGATTAAATTTCAACGTTTCTACTAACTGTTTTCAAAATTTAACTTTCTAAATAAATTTTAAAAATTAATTTATTATACATGTTTTTTATAACCCCTCGAACGCTATCTTACTATGTAAAAATATCGTCAAAACGCCTCACTTTTTTCATGCTATCAAATAAATAAGTGCTATCGTACATATTAAAAATGAATAAAAATAAATGAAGAAAGTGATCACGTTAAAAGATATTTTTCCAAAAAAAAAAACATGTGCACCGAATAATCCACAAATATTGAGTTTTACTTAAGTAACTTACATAAAAACCTTTATTACTTGTACTACATGAAACACAAGCAATATTAATTTTTCATTATTTGATGAAATTATACACGTAGTACTTTGATTATTTATAAGAGTTCTGCTAAGTTTTGATTGATCTATCGGAAGCTATAATTAGAGCTTACTGCATCTAAGAAAACAGTTTCATCATTGGTCGAAACTTATGATTTTAAAGACGAAATTTGATCAACTTCAGTCAGCTGCATAATCTTTTTAATACTCGAAAAATCAAACAATACCATCAGATAGAACATTCAAATTGAACACGTCCGACATGAACTATTGACAAGAATCTATCGTTCTGAATATTGAAAATATGTTGTCTCTATGTTTGAATATATCAATTTCAACTAATTCTTTAAACTTTAAGTCAAAAATAACGTATCTGTCGTACAGATAATCCACAAATCATGTAAATTGCTCATGCCATTCTTACTCAGCTCTGAATGTTTTAGCCGCTGTTATTGTTTGATCTCTGTGAATAATAGAATCATGTTACGCAATTGACTGAAATCAGTCGAATTTAATCTTAAATATTATAAGTTTCAACCAACGATGAGACTCTTTTCTTAAATTTGATGAAAATCTAAACATAAGCTTCGATACGGCAACTAACACTGAGCAGAACTATTATAAACTATTGATAGGTCAATGAGTTCTCAACATTAGAAAATACTATCTTTGAAACCACAGTTGATGAATTGGTACAATTCTACTTTCAGTGGCAATCCATGAAAAAATCTTGCAAAGCAAGCGTTGTGTGCCAAAAACACTTTCGTTGTCGTAACTTGAATTGAAATCGACAGTGCTGATATATATCAAGCTAACTCGATATATCAATGCCTATCTTGAGAAAGATCACATAGACTAATGTTTCTTATCTGGATAACATCATTTCTATTCATTAACACATCTAATTAGTTAAAAGCATTACCTAAAAAAAAATAAAATATGTTTACATATATTTTCGAGTAATCTGTAAATGATATGTAAGAAAGTTTGGGAAAACCGACCATTTCATATCTTCGGCATTGAAATAATGTATTATACTGATCAATCTCTTATTTCTATTTCTAAGAAAAACAAAAACAAATTTGTTTTTTTCTTATCATGCAAAGGATGAAGGGGAAACACATACATTTATTTATATACTAAAAACAAAAACACCCTGAGAAAGAAAAACATCATCTCATTATAATATTTAAAAAAAAATACAAATAGAAACTGTGACAATCGCAAGAACAACACTAATATTTATATATATATATATGTCATGAAGACACAGTATTTAAACGAGAAGAATCAATATGTCGCCTAAAGTAAAGTGCAATATCAGCAATATTTGGACGTTTTGTTCCATCAATATGCCAACATTCACATAGTAAATCATAAATTTCTTTTGGACAATCAGGTGGAAGAGATAAATTAAATGATATATCATCTTTATTTTCTAATTGTCGTAATATAATACGTTGATAAAGTTCTTCATTTGTTAATGATATATATGGTAAACATGAACAACGTGACCAAAGTTCCCATAATGTTACAGCAAATGAATATACATCCGATTTTATTGTTGGACTTGTCTAAAATAAATTAATTGTAATTATTTTATTTCTGTACAACTTACATCTATTTTCGAAAATAATTATGAATGTAAATTTGAAAGGTAAACTGTTGCGTCCAACCCTTTCTCACTTCAGACTTTAGACACCAACGACAACAAACCTCAGACTCGTTTTTTAGAATTTTTGAGCGATGAAAAAAGGAGATGAACGACATTAACGACGAGACTTACACAGTTCTAGAGAATTCCAGAATATTTCAAAATTTTTACAGAAGTCTAGATTCCGTGAGTTCTAAACTAATAGAATTCTCAAGATTGCAACTTCACACACAGAACCATCAGAAGTTACGAAATGCAAGTAAATTCAACAACGAAAGTTATCTTAAGTACTATAGATATTTGTTGAAATTTAGGTAACAGATCAAGCTTAGCGTTCTAAATGATATTGAAATCCTCATGCTTTACTAACTGACAAATTTTACACTGAAGTGGTGTCTTACATCCAAAAATTCACGGTGGTACATTTTAAAAAGTACGAATTGATCAAGTCATGACTTATAGAAATAATTACTATCAGTGTTTGTGAACCTGTCGAATTATTGAGATTTACTATAGATATAATAGATGTATACAAGAGACTTATTTATCAGTTAAATCAATCGTTAGAATAATAATGATATTACATGAAGAAAAAAAATGAAATACGAAAATGAACAGCAACAATGCAAGTTTTAAACTAAAATGCATATAAGAAATAGAAAAAAGAAGTCTTCTGTTCAAAACGTAGACATAAATAAGATGAATTGCTTCTCTGACAATTGATTATTTTAGATAAGAACAATAGTCTGAGAAAGATTTTTTACTTTGAATATTTCGTATCAATATTCTGAGACTAATGAAGACATGTAAGTTTTAAATGTAAAGCCCAAAGGGACTGTCCTAGCAAGTTTTTTTTTCAAGAAAAAGAAAAACTTTCTTTTACCGTTAATGCTTCTGGTGCAATCCATCGTAATGGTATTAATTGTCCATTTGTTGTTAGCCAATATTCATGTTCATATTGTGATAAAGCCATTGCACAATCTGTTAACTTAATCGTATAATCCGAATAAAAAAGACAATTACGTGTTGCTATGTCACAATGAATTAAATTTAAATGAGACAAATATTGAAGAGCATTTGCTAATTGATAAGCGAAATAAATGTTCATCCTAAAATAAATAAATAAAAAGATTAACAAATAAATATCAATGATTATACTTTTGAAAGGTTGAATCATTTGTTTGTTGATTGGAAATTTGATGAAAATAATCTTGTAAAGTACCAAATTGTGAATGTTCTTGAACAAGATAAAGTAGATCAAGTTGAACAGCATATAAACATGCAAGATTAATATGATTTAAATGTGATAAAATTTCAAGTTCAGTTAAAAATGTTTGTCTAAATATCAAAAAACAAAAAAAAAAAAGTTTTTTTTTTTGATTTTTTTTTTTGTTTTGTTTTTAATTTGAAAAGAAATCTTTTCTTTTTTACCTTGATATATTAATTAAATTTGTTTTAACAATTTTAATTAAAACACATTTAGATTCATTATCAATAAAATATTTTCCACAATAAATTTCACCATTTTTTGTTTCAGATATTTTACGAGATACAATTAATTTTGTTTTATCAACATTAACTGGATATTTTGTTGATGAATGATGATTATATTTTGAAGAAATACTTTCTTGAGGAAGTACACAATTAAATAAACTTATTCGTTGATTATGACAAATTTTATCTATTTGTCCAATATCTGATGAAGCATAATGAAATGTCTAAAAATAAAACAAAAGGCAATAAAATAAAGGTTAAATTTTCACTTTTACATTATTTGTTGACCATTGTTTATAAGTACTAAGTGAATAATTTCCATCAATAACTGCATATTGTTCACTTTTAAATAATGATGATGGTGGACTCGTTTGTAATAATGATGTTGTTGATGTTATTGGATAAATATATGAACCCATTGATTGTTGTTCACTTGTTACATCATCATAATTATTTGGTGTAAATAAATGATTATTTTTATTCATAGGTAATGTACTTCCATCATGTTCACTTGATGTTGATACACAAGAACCACTTGTCGTTGTTGTCATTTGAGAAGATTTATAATAAAGGTTTCTATTTTGTCTTAAACGATGATGTGAATGACGACGACGATGACGACGAAAACGATAGAATCCAAATATAAGTAAAAGAATAAGACAAAATGAAAGAATAGAACCAATTAATATTGTTAACCATTCAAATGTAAATATTGTTAATGATGTAGATTCATTTGTTGAATCATTATTTAATACTAAATATAGAAAATTATTATTATGAAATTAGTTAATGAAATAAAACTTTTCTTTTTTTACCTATTGGACAATTTGTTGTATTATTTATTTCTAATGTTGTATTAATAAGAATAACTGGTTCATTATCAAATGTAATTTCTGTTACAAAAAGTGCAATATTAAATTCAAATAAAATTTCTACACGTTTTCCAATAAACATATTTCCATAGTTTATTAATTGAATTGTATCAACAAATACAGTTGATAATGATGATTCTATTGATGATATATGATGTTTAATTGAAGGATTATCATCAAATTTTATTTTAATTGATTCATATTTATTATTCATTGTATAAATATGTATTGTTTTAAAATGACGAGACATATCAAATTGAAATTCAATTGATACAGGTGATTTATTCCAACTAAGCCAAGAATTATCAACATCACCAATAATTCCATCAACTAACTTTCCAATACCACCTAATATTATTTTCATAAATAAAACAAACAAAAAAAATCAAATAATCCTACCATCATATGTATTATCTTTATCTTGAGTTGGTGAAGTTTTATACGATATGACACCACCTATAAGAGAAAAAGATAATGAATAAATGTGTTTGTTATGAAAATTAATCATATTATATTTAACCATAGTATGGACATCCATAAAGTTCAACTCGCATACAAACTGTTCGCCATCGTTGACTATAAGGAACAATTCGAATACGTTTAGCTAAGATTGATGATGAAAGTAAACGTTTTTCAGGTAAATATGTGTTAATATTTCCATTGATAATCTAGAAGACAATTATCTTCAAGCAATAAGTTTCTTTAGTCATTAATGATTATCATACTGTTTTATTTGTTGTTTTACTATGATAAGTAATCCAATCAGAAGATTTATTATCACGTTGATATTGAATTTGATAATATTCTGCATATTCTTTTCCTTGTCCATTACCAAATCGACCTTGAGTTTCAACAGCTTTTATAAAGAATAATTGTCGTAATTCAATTTCTAGATATTCATATGAATTAACTCCAATTGGTTTGTCCGGACACCATGCTCCTCCTTCGATTTCAGTACGAACTCTACTCAAATAGAATATTTATTTCAGACTTTATTCATCATCGATCATAAAACAAAAAAAAAAGAAAAACTAATAAACGATTATTTTACCTTGCCATTTGAGGTCCAACATTACTGACATCATGTGTTGAACTTGCAGTTAAATCATTATCAGTAATCGAGCCGGACTCCATACCCAATGGTGCATCACAATGTTCTGTAAATGAGACACGAGAAGAAAAAAAACAATTGACCTTATTTAAATCTCTCACGTATTTACCATATTCAGGCAATAATAAATTCGACGAGACATCAACAAGACTTAGGATGAATAATAGACATATGCTTATCATCATAGATAGATATGAATACATATGATATCTGAAAAGACAAAAAAGCAACATTTCGAAAATGAGCAAATCTTGTGATAATTAACCAATATGATAATATACACATATTGATATTATCAGTTTCTGTTGATATAGTTTACTAATTGAAACATCAACTAATTAAAGAACAAATAAACAAATTTCATCATTCTAGTATCAATAATGATCACCTTGAAATAATTAGTTACAAATCTTTAAATTATTATTTTTTTTTCTTACTTGATATTAAATGTCTAGACATATTATTTGTTTCTTTCATTTCATATTACTTGAACAACTCTATTTAAGATGTCATTTTATAGATAAATATATATGTATGTGTATTCATACACACGATTTTAACAAGATTGTACGTATATATCGTTTATCATAGGAAAGAGAACATCATTAATGGTTATCTGTTCACACTTCAATATGATCACTGCTGTGAACGTTGATGAACACAACGTGAGTTCGGCAACTTCGATTTATTACGCAAAAAAAAAATAAAATGTGTATGATGCGTACTTAAATGACCACCATAGTATGATGTATATATGTGCTTAGTGATTGTATAAACAAATAATATGGTTAAGTTGTCTGATATGTATATGAGTGTGTTTTGTGCTTGGTTGGCGGCGAAGATCGACGGACGGACAGCACTCCAGGCAACTTACGTACGTATGAAAAGGAGACATCAGATCATTAGAGTTCGCTTGATAGCGACCAGATCTTACTAATCGTTATGATGTAATCTAACAAATCTTCTCTACATTCCTTTTAATATACTCACGTACTATTCTGCTTGTTGAAATCGAGACTGAACAGAAGAATCCTTCTTTTGTACCAGAAGAGAATAAGAGAAGAAAAAAAAATTCTTCTTTCTCTTTCCCTGTTTCTCTCCCTCTCTCTTTTCCGTTATCGATAACAAAAATGAAGAGAGAGAGAAAGAGAAATTGAGAAGAGATTTTGTAATATTTTTTATCTTCTTTCTTTTTCTGTCACCATTGCTTACACATATTATTAATTTGTACCTTGCTTCTCGTTCTCTACAATGGACATATATGGAGATTCTTTGTTCAAGTATATGATAGGCAATCTTACGTAAAATGTACTCGAATTTCATTACGTGGTAGTAATCAACTTCAAATACATACCTATATTTTATGACATGACAAGAAGGCCTTGTATTATCGAAATATGTGGAAACGCGTGCGTCCACTCATCATTGTCGCCGTCATATATATATCTGTATCTAGGTCAATATTTCGATCGAATCAGATACAGATCTTAATTTACAAAGTGTGAACATCAATCAGCTGTTTGTTAGAGATACAGAAAAAAGGAAACCGCCTTGCTTTGGAGATTGAGATGTACTTGTCTAAATGAACCATTCGACAGGTCGTTCAATCGGAACACATTACATTAGCGAAGTCAACTCATAGAATGAGAAAAAAAAAAACGGCTAATCGACATTCTTCAACATATTGAAATAAAAGGGAATGATGCAATACATACGTCAAACAAGTGCGTTATTGAAAAATAATTATCGATAGTATGTATGCTAAATGAAAGCGTGGACATTGAGGCCTCAGGAGATATCATCTACATCTTGAAGATCGAAATTCAAATATAATTGGTTAGTTTCTGCTGGTGGCTATTAATATATATCATGTTACATAGTAAACATCATAATTCCATTTAGTCTTTGTCACACGCGATCTTTTTCTTTTTTTTGTTTTTAGCTAGAGAATAGGAAATAATACTAGTAATTCTTTCTAGTCATCATCAAATGATGAAGATCCAAGGTTAAATAAAGACGAATAAGCAAACGAGACAATGTTTCAAGGACAAGCGTGATAAATCAATACAACATAAACATAGATATTTACGCCTACATATCATATAATTTTGATGATCTTTTTTTTTTTTGTAATGTTCACATAACAATGATAAAATGAAAGAAAAAAAGGAAGAATTTATCTATTTCTATCTAAATTGAGTTTATGTGTACACTTATTACTTGCTCGTTCGATCGTTGAACAGATGAAATCAATCACTAATTCAATAACGATGGATTCGTTCGGACTTAAAGAGTGTTGTATAGAAAAAAAAAAATTACATTATATATTGCCAATGAGCTATGGTGCTAAAAGGATTCTTTTCTCTTTTTTTTTTTCATTCGAGCATATACAAAAAATCTTTTCAACCTTGAATGAACGAACAGTCGGACTGAGAAAGAAGAAAAGAGACTCGATCATTAGTAGGCGTACTCAACGAAGAAGAACACACATACAAGCTTATATTAGTTCTTTCTTTTATATATATATATATATGTGTGTGTCTACCGGGTGGAGTAGTTAGTACTATTCGATGACTGCAATTAGACATGAACAAGGCAGTCATTCGTGTGTTTAGTCTGGCACTACTGCTGATCTTCATCTATTCATAAATTGATCAAGAATACATGTGTGTGTAACTTTCGTAGTGAAATCAGTTAGTTACCATTCTAGACGAAATTGATCGTGTGTATATGGGTATGTCTGTAATTCTTAATCAAAGATGAAAAAAAGAAATCGTACAGAAGAACAAGAGAAAGACGAAAAATGAGTCTTGTCTGAACAATTATAATAACACTAATCATTCGTCAACATATACGAACTATTATTGAACTGCTGCTACTCCATAATAATCATAATATATAAGTGAACAGCAGACATGAACATTAAATCGAAATTCTATCAACATGTAGACGTATATGTTTGAAATTCATCTTTTCTTTTTTCTTTCATTACTTTATAAATGAAGCAGAAGAAATGATCGTCGATTTTTCCAACTCAGCGAATTCTTTCTTTTTCATAGTTCACTAAGCAACTAGCTGCTTTTAGTGAGAGATGATTGATTGATTGATCAATTCAGCTTTATTCTATATCAACAATATCTTACAGAAACAGAGTAAATGATAATTATAGAACTACTCAAGTACTTATTTCTATATTAAATACAAAAGCGATCGCTATTATCAACAATATACAATGTATCTATATATATATATATAGAGAGAGAGAGAGAAAGAAAAAGTATTCTTCGCAGAATAGAAATGACACATTGGTGTTGAACAAATAATCGAACAAACGATGATGATGATGAGAATGTTTACAGACTTTAAATAATCAATTCTAAAATAAAAACGAGTTAATTCATTGTATAAAATGTTCATTGGAAGCTTTAATTTTAATAAGAGAAAAAACATTTAAATGAACTTTTTCTTTGTTTACAAATGTCAACTTTCGTTAGACAATAATGTAGAATGATAGAATTGTATTTATTCGACTACAAACAATATGTTGCTCTTTTGTCAGACAAGAATATGAGATAAATGTGTTTAGATGAATGAACATCAAAGATAGTATAGTATTATTGTTTGACTGTCGTCCCTCAATAGGTGGCCAATAGTCATTTATTATGTTTTTCCTTCTGTTTCTCTTTCTCTTTATATGTGTTAGTTTTAACCCTCATATTCGTCGGTCTTTTTTTCTATGTTTTATTGATTCTGACACATATTTGATCGCACCTATACATATACACAATATGACCTTTAGGGTTGTACACACAAAATAAGTATGTGAATGAGTGTCTGATGTCAAATCACAACATATTTTTTGTTGTTACTTTGTAAATATACATATGTTTTACTTAAACTTTATAATAAATAAAAATAATGAATGTAACATAAAAGAAAATGATTTCATGACAATATTTTCCACTGACCAGAGTAACATCAAAGTTGTTTCCTGTTACATATAAATGCATGTGTATATTAAAGATAGAGGATGTACACATATACATAGAACAAATAAGAAAAAGAGAACAGCAATCACTTACTATTTTGAAGATAAAGAAAAAAAAATGTTTCGTTCATTTAAGCATAACTAACATCTTCATCAGTTGGATAATCATATTGGACGGCTATGATCTTGTGCATGACTACGTGTCGTCTAAGTGGACAGTTAAAAGAGGGCGGAATTCTGCATGTTAAGAATGTCTTGTGGATAGACGAAGTCGAGTGATTTTTTTAATCATGTTTGAAGTATTGCAGTAGACAAGAAAAAAAGAGAGACCATTACTTCCTGTACTTATCATCGGAGAATAAAGGATGAACAAATGCGAATGAATAAATGGGTGTTCTATATAAAAGAGAAAATATAAGGAACTTGTTTGACCGGAAACATGTACACACGCAATAGAGAATGAATAAATATGTAGTTATGTTTGTATATGTATATATATTTACTCAATGTGTCGATGAACAAAGTCACACAAGAATTGGACAACAAAAGTGTACTTGTGTTAGACAAGGTTCTATTTCTATGAGTTATGTGAACAATATTTATGACATAAAACGATAACGATAAAACAAGTTTTATAATGAGTGACATGAAATATAATGTTTATTCCATTGAGAACAATTTAATTATTTATATATGAAACTTATTTATTATCGTTCATATTGATTGAGTTCTTATGGTAATTTTTAATTGAAAATAAAATCAATTGATTGAATTCATTTTGATGTAGGACGAAACAAATAAAAGTTTATTGATTCTTTTACGGAAAAAAAAGAGACGTAGAATACAAATGGAATGTTTCAACAAATTTATTTGAAGTACAAGTGTGATATATCGGGAATGAATATTGTTGATGATTACATTTATTTTTAATAGAATAAAACAGACATTATAAGAAACAACAGTCGCACTTTAACAAAAATAGATGAGACAAAAACAAATCACACAAAAAACAGAATAAATAATAGAAACAGAGTGAATGTATGTACATGGAGAGAAAATCAACACTCATATCCCTTTGTTTTTAGAAGTGTTGTGAGTTTAATGGGATCATTTTAATCAGATGAGATTATTATTATTATTTAACTTTGTCCAATCGATCAATTAGCTATTGAGATAAGTATACAATCTGTCATAAATGCACCATCTATTATTCATAAACATAAACTCTCTATCACCCATGTCGTCTTAATGCATTCAGTGATCGAAAGTATCTTTTCTTTTGCTAATAATTTTGCAATAAAAAATTTTTAGTAAGTAAAAGACAATTTTCTTTTATACTCTCAACATCAGCCAATGAAAGACTAAATGTAGATTCAAGATTAATTTAATATTTATTTAAAAAAAAAACATGATTATTGTATTGACTTTAACTTATTTGTCTTAAAGTTGAGTTTATTATATTAAATATTATTGAAAAATGAACTTATTCTACAAATATTAATCTAACTGTAGAACGAAATACAATATTATCACTATTCTATTTTTTATTACAAGATCATAATTTATAGTTAGAAATTACTCATCGTAGTATCTTCTATATTATTACATTAATAATCTTTGCTGTTAATATTATTTATATTTACAAAATCTCTTAATAGAAAAACTCATGAATTTGTTGTTAGAGAATAATTATCAATAACATAAACTCCAGCATCTTTCATTTGTTGAAAAGCTAATTGAACAGGTGATAACATTTGTTTTGTTAAATCTTCACTAAGACAAGTTGTACAGTCTTGAATAGGTGGTGAACCATAAATCATATATTTTTCTAAACATTTTTCACATCGTTCTACATAATTATCTTTTCTAGCTGCACATAAATTTCGATCAACAAATAAATTTAATTGTGGAAACATTTTTTTTATTTGTATAGATGAATCACGTATACATGATGTTATTGTACATCCACCAATAACAACGTCTAATTTAGACTCTAATTGTTCTTGTAACCATTGATGAACACCTGGACATATTGAAAGATTTGTATGAGGTTTATAAGTGCGAGTTATTGAAGAAAATCCATGTTGAGATATTTCATTAGCTATTGGTTCGAAAATTTGTCGATCTCGACGAGAAAAACCAGTTTCACTAATTAATATCGGAATTAAATGAGGATTTGGTATCGAACGAAGAAATAATACAATGCGTTGAAATGATTCAAGTATAGGAGTTGATTGACCAATAGGAAACATACGAGACCAATAACCATCATTAATAAAACCATTTTGAGGATCCATTAATATTAATGCAAAACGTTTGTGGATATTATTAATAGAAGACATCTAAACTAAACATGAGAAGATTTATCTTTTTCAATAAAACATCGATAATTGACACTAAAGTATAATAATTTTCTCATGTTAATAAATCAATGTCAAAGGAAATTACATCAATGTAATGTGAAATTCATTACTCAGTTGTATTCCAACATCTGATACAATATTATATTAAATTTTATTTTTTCATTTCTATATAAAGATCTTAGCTTTCCATCATTTTCGAAACTACATGCATTCAAAAAAGGAAAAAAAGAAAACGAACAAACAAACATCAAGAGAATTACACAATTTAATGATGATCAATTATAACAAAATCATCATTTATTGATAAATATGTTATGGCCGAAGTTGAAATTCAGTCCAATTCAGAATTCATCCAAAATTGTTGATCGAATTCTGAATTGGGCTAAACTTTGTCTGGACAAAATCAGAATTCGACCAACAATTTTGGACGAATTCTGATTTGGGCTGAATTCCAAGTTCGGCCACAACAAATACATATAGAAAGAAAACGATGAAGAACATACACAAACATATGTGTATGTTTAGAATAAACGATTCAAAGATACTTCGTGTTTTTTATCGATATAAAACAGAATGAATAAATACACATACAATATCAAAATAACCAATGAGTAGAAAGTTTTTGAATAATATAATTCTTCAATTTTCGATTACATATAAATCACTACAGAGAATCATAAGTCTGAGTCACACTCAGAAATCGATCTTCATTCAAAATAGACCTTTATAGTTTTTTTCCTAGTGTATATTGATTAGCTATGATTAGGTACTTGAATAAGCAAAAATGAAAATTTGCATGAAGAAATGTGGGTGTTGTTTTTTTTTGTATTCACAAATGTTCTGAAGAGTAATTTGAAAAAAAATTAAAATCATGGTAAAAATAAGTTGGATGTCAAAAGCATCAAAGTCAACAGTCAATTTGCGAAAAACTATATGGTATCAAACAGAAATAGGTCGAGTATTTTGCACAATGAACTTCTCTCTATTAATTGTTACGTAAAAAGAGTTATGGATCCGATTAAGATTATTCTAATTATAATAAAGAAATAAGCTAATCGCAAAATTATATACAGACATCCACAATCTCTTCTGTCATTTATAAGTAATCGAAAGTCAAATGAATATGTTATTCATAGACTTTTAACGCACGAATTACACAAAAGGTGCAACAAAGACACACAAAAGCACAACTAAAATCATCAGATTACGCCATTATATTACTTAAACGGACAATAATAATGCGCATCATCAAATAAATCAAACTAATGATCTCTATAAAACGTTTCTTCTTTTATTTTATACTTTTTCAACTGTAAGTAGAATTTGATTTAATATCAACGATAAAATATTAAGTTAAACAAATTCTAATACAGTTGAAGAAGTATTAGAAATGAAGTTTGATATTCGAATAACCCATTCAGTCCCATATGTAAATATAGGTATACAAATAAAAAATAAGGCTTTTCAGCGACAGAACAAATAAGTAAATTGAGAAAATGAAGAGTGCACTGTTATTATACAAAAATAATATAAAGTGTGTTCTCAACTGAGTGTAAATCAGAGAGAATCACCGAGAATTGTTTAAAAGAACAAAAAGAAAAAGAAAAAGAAAATTAGAAGAGACTAGCATCGGACAAAACGAAATAAATTCTTAACATTTTTTTAATTGTTCAATATGATGAACAATTTTAAGTGATGGACCAAGTTTTAAACCCATATGTCTCATTAATGTATCTGTTGTAAGAAGAAGAAGAGCTTTTCCATCAATTTCCTATTAAAAACAAATAAAAGATTATTTAAAAATCAATTAATTATCAAACATACCTCTTGAAGAAACCTTGAAGCAAGACTATCAAATGATGGATCAATGCCTCGAACAAATGATGCTACTTCACTTGGTGTAAATCGTTCATAATGACGAGACCCATCTAATAAAATAAATCATATTCAATATTGATTTCTAGTAGTTAGAATGATACATACGTGCATGTTGATCTATTGGTTGTGAATAAGTGTTCGATGAAGATTCTAAATATATTAACATGAACTTTTTAAAATGCATTATTGACCAAAAGTAGTAATACCAGGCAAAAGTAAGCAAAACTTCGTGCCTTAGAGCTGAATATTTTATCATCAAAAGAATCTAGAAGGTCCTGATCCTAGATGTCAATCCATAATCAATAAATTGACAAATAATGGAACTACAGGTTAAATACTACTTTGACCTTAAGACACTCAGATTTTTATCATTTAAGCAACTTCATTTGTACGAAATCACCATTGCTTTACTGATTTCTATGCTTTTATTAGGAAAACTTTCTCGACAATTGACGATTCTTCACAAAACAATCGAAACTGTAACAAGACAATGACGATTTCAAATAAATGAAGATGCTCAAATGATAGAGAACCATGTGTTTTAAGATCGAAGTAGTACTTGACCTACAGCTTCCTTAATTGTCAATCTATTGAGTGTGTATTGCTGTCTAGGATCAAACGATATATTGAGTTATATTTGTAGTAACATTTTTTTCTTTAATGCTCAGATTTTTGCTTACTGTCACCTATATATCGCTACGTTCAGTCAGTAGTGTAATTACTTGTGTCATAAACTGTTCTTTCATTCGAATTGGATCGTGCTGCTTTACCATTACTTATGAATGTTTTATTCTCTATAATGAAAAGATTATATTCGAAAAACCAAAAAAACTGGTTATGTACATACCGGGATATGAAGCTAATTCTGTACTTTTTCGTTTAGTTTTATTGTTACTTATTGATTGGTAGGATTGTGAAGAATCTTGTTTTTTATCTAAAAACATGTTACTATGTTGAATATTCAAATATTAAAGTAAAGTGTACGAACTAGATGATGTAGAGGAATCAAATAAAGATGATGATGAATCATTAACTAAATCAATAGCAAATGAATAATCATAGAAAATTTCTGTTATTTTTACTTTGCTTATTCACTGATGGTGGTGATGTTCGAATAAAAAGATTATCACCAGATAAAATAATATTTTGAAATAGGCGAATAACATCCCAAAAATCAACTTCTGTTTCAAACTGTCGAATATACACTATTGTACCATTTTCCACTATAAAAAATTAATCTTAAGTTTTATTCAAGAAACAAAATAATAATCAATGTTTTCATACGTACATTTAATCTGTGTATACGAATCTTTTTCTTCGTCATTAGGTGTTGGAAATAGATCAAGTATTCGTTTAATAAATGATGCTTGTTGAAAAGCACATTTAATACATGAATCAAATATTGATGTTAGGACAACATGGCATTCATCGGGTCCAAATTTTGATGGCATTGATACACGAAATTTTTGTGGATTTAATAACATTCCACTATTATCACCAAGATAATTTAAATATACAGTAACTAAAAAAGATTTATTCAGTCAATTAAACGGATTCATTTTTCAGTTTATTTCAAACATTCTCTTTAAATGGTTGATCTTTATTAATGGAGTTATTGAAAATTTATTTTCAATTTCTACTAATCTGATCATTCCAGTGTATTGTAAGAGCCATTTTATAATCCTCGTTTACAACATAAAATAAGCTAGTTAAATGAAAAGATCAGTTGGAAAAACACAAAAACTGTACTGATAGAAGAAATTTTGGAATATCTCAAAAATAAACCGTATATATGGTGACGGAAAAAAGTTCAACGACATATTTTTTCATATTTTTCAAACCAAGAACAACAGGCGTTTTTCAGTGCATTATCTGATAAATTACAGTTTTTTACGATTTTTTTTATGCCTTGAAGTTTCTCAAAGAAGATCGTAGAAAATGTGGCAACACTTCACTTTATTCAGACTTTTGTGCTCTTTAAATATCGCTTTGTAAAAAAAATAACCCTAACAATGTCTTCTGAGACCCACAGGCTACTGAATGCATTGTATTAAAGTTTCAATTAACTACTAAAATCGTTATCTGGATTTGAGCTAGGTACCTAATGTGATAGGAAAAATACATTGTTGTTAAACTTTTTCTGCTACGTTTAGAAACAGAGCTCTTACGAGAGAACTTTACCAGCTGATTAAAAGCTTTTGGGCTCATATCTTGGCCATAAGTAGGACTTGATGAAACTAGGAGAACTCCAAAAGGATTTGTTCCCATAGGTCTCTTTAGTTAAGTTACGAATGTCTCAAGTTTAAATCCAACAGTGTAGGTAAACAATTTCTAATGCTTGAATTACAACATTCTAACATTTCTATAGAAGACTCTCTTTATTCTTTTGTTTATACTCGTTCTGATGTGAGTTATGACTCCAAATGAAATAAAAAACCACATCAATCAAATGAAAATGCAAAATAAACTATGAATGAGGAGATATGCAAACAAATCAACAGGTACAAGTAATTGAGAAATGCATATGACAGTTTTTAAAACACATACATGAAACAATTCTATTGTATTAAAGTATTAATACTTTATGGTTCTTTTCTATAGCACTTAGCTCATCAGACAAACGCAACACTATGATTTTTCACAATAGCTTGACGTCTTAGCTATGAATATTTCAAAAAGAAATTTTTCTTTTGAAATATTACAGTATTGTAATTCAAGAAAAAGAAGCAGTTTATGTATGCTTCTGGTCCTAAACTTGAAACATCCGTATCTCAACCAAATATGTCTATGGAGGCAAATCCTTTTGGAGTTCCTCCAATGCTACCAAGTCCTATTTATTACCAGAATATGAGCCCAAAAGCTTTTACTCAGTTGATGGGGTTTCCTCGTTAGTTCTTTTAATTTGAGTAATCAGTGCATACTTGGAACCGGACCGGCCGGTCCGGTCGCACTTTTAAAACCGGTGTAGACCGGTTTTTTATCAAATTTTAGGGTATGAAAACTAAATTAGTGTATTTTGCTCGTTTTTATTGATTTTCATTGGTTTCAAAGATCAACAGACATGAGCGTACACGTTTTTCACTGATAAATTTATAGTTGTCATTAAACTTCTAGCTCTAATTTTTGAACTCTCGCTTTCTCGTCGTATGGGAGGATCTCCAATTACGCTGAATGGATTTATTATGGTCATGAAAAGTTAAGAGCCCATCAGAGCCTAAATATAGTTTGAACTAAAGATTCTGCTGCTAGACATTTCGAGCTCACTTTTCCAGGCTTTGTCACTGACAGTTAGAAACTCCCAATAGCTAGTTGTTGTTACTTCATGCTTTCATTATTTGAATATTAAAGGTCTTCTGTTATTGTAAACGTTATACCAACTACTAGTCTTCTGCAACTGTGAAAATCCGCAGGTATTAAGAAAGCTAAAATATGACGCCTAGCATAAAAAGAGACCTTTCTGGCTTATTTTGTCTTCCTGGTTTTTTGGCCGGTTGACTTCTGTAACTAAATCGGCCGGTCCAGTCCGGTCGAAAAAACTTGACCGATTTCAAGTCTGACTCTGTATATCATCAACGATAGATGTCAATAACTGTTTAGAAAACGTTAGAGATGATGAAACAGGTGAATATTGTGATATTTAATTATCAACAGTTCAAAGAGAGAGATCAAGAACGCTTTTACATGTGATCATATGCAGAGGGGACTCATTTCAAAGTCGCTACTTGCTTAATATATTGGGAAAATTACAATCAATTTACCTATTCATAAATGAAACAATTACTCGATTGAGTTTGATAAGCATTAGAAAGTAAGCTAGTAATGATGTAAACTGTTTTTTTAGGTTTGTGCCTACGTGTAGACTTTAGAGTACTATATGTTTTATATTTATCAAAGTAAAAAGATCATCTCATTGGTATATAATGATCATGATTTTGTGAAATATGCTCTGAAAAGAGTATTCAAGTATAGAAGTAAATGTTTGAATTACCTACGCTTCCAACAGACTGCAACAGGTAACTACCGATAAACGCTTATAGACTGCATCTGAATAATGTCTCGTGATACTATATAAACTACTTTCTTTTTCGCATTTTTGAAGGATTTAATAAAATCAGGATGAAGAAATGTGTCTCAAAATATATAGCATACAACAATATTCTTGAAATGAGCAAAAGTAACTACAGTTTGACTTACGTTCTAATGTCACAGAGATTATGATAAAAACTTTGTCCATATTATTTTGACTATATACATGTTTCCAAAATGACTCTGTTCTATAAAGGATCATATGAAAAACGATATTGAAATCTTCTCTTTCGTTTTTTGTCTACGATCGATTTTGCAACAGTTATTTCTATGTATTGTTACTATCATCTTCATGATTTAGAGGCTATGAAATGTCGTAGTTGAAACTTTTTATTTCAACGCTAACTATAAACTATAGTCTGCCACAAATGTTCATCATGGTTGACAACTTTCTGTTGCTGTGATCGTTTTTGAGAAATTCTTCGAAAACCTCTTCCGTCATTGTGCTAAACTAGTCATGTGATTTTACAACCGTCCTAAATAGGAAGCTGCTACTGCCACGAGTGTCTTTGAAACATCTCTCGCAATGCTATGGTTAAAAAAAGTACTGCTACTGCGCTGCTCATGGCTCAGCAACGGCACCGGTAGCGCCGCTGTGAAAAGATCTCTGTGATCTATTTCTTGAGTCATCTAAGTGAATAGAGAACAGCCCTTCCAAAATAGAATTCTTACCAATGGGTCGTTTCTTTTTAGTATCTTCATTAGCTTCATCTGAATCAATTGAGTTTCCATTCTCCTTCTTAGTCTTTGATCTTTGATTTATTTTTTCTTTCGTTGTTAAATTATTATTTTTCTCATCCATAGTTGTTGGTGAATGAGATGAATCATTTGGTAATGGTGAAACAATGGTTTTCTTATTTTTCGATTGCTGCTGTCGAACATTTTCATTTTGTTTAGTGGGACTCGTTGGTAATATTTTATTCGATGCACGAGAAGGTGCTAAAGAAAAATTGAAAATTTTCTTTATCGACTTTTTTTTCTTTCTAAAATAATGAGTAAAATTCATACGGTTTCCACCAACTTTTGCAATACGAATTCCAGCTAATTTACACCAACCAACAGGAAAAATATCCCGTGATAGATAATCAACTTTAAAATTATTTAGTGAACTCCATCCATCCAATGATAACATTATTCGATAATCACCAGGTATAACATTACTTACTGTTGCTGGACATATTAGATTAGAATGTCTTGGATCGACAGCTTCTAATTTTTGTCCTTTTTTAAATAAATTCTTTTCGGGTTTCGAAGGTTGCTAAAATTTATTGATAAATTCTAACTAATTGAAAAATTTCATTGCTTTTTTTTACCGGTTTGAAACATGATTCAGCAGCAAACGGGCCATCCTTAACATTTCTTTCAAAATATTTGGTCCACCGAGTTGAAGTCAGTTGAAAACCAAGAGGAGGCACAATTTGTCCTCCCTTAAAAACAAAATCATTAAAAGTTAAATAATTTAATTAAAAATTTTCATACTAATTTTGCTGTTGTTCCATAGCAACGAATATCTCCTGAGTCGACAAGACGCCAAAAATCATTTCGATCATCAGTTCCATCTAATCGTATACGTAGTCTTGGTCCATCTTTTTCAATAATTGTTCCTATACACCATGAATCTTGATTTCTTGGATCAATTGATTCAAGTTTTTCTCCAACAATGAAATCGTTTACTGGTGGAATCAAAGCCTTTAAAGAAAAATTATGTATCAAGATAATCAATAGAAAGAATTCTTTTCGTTTACTTGTTTGAAATTACTTGCTGGCGCTGCTTCACTATTTGTTTCAATTAAATACGAATCCCAATCATGTTCTACATACATAAAATTCAATAACTATTAATGAATAATAAGTATTTTAGTTACCTTCTTCTCTTGGTGAATCATCTGGTGTCGTGTTAGTATTCATTTTCCCTTGTGAAGATCTCAGGGATGCATTCATATCTAAAATATATCATATACGAAAAGTTAATTTTTATTTATACAGTATAAATTGATAAATTTCTCTTTTCATTTTATTTCTTTTCCTTTTCAATCATCTCATTTCATTGACAAGAAATTGAAGAAAGAAAGGAAGAATGATTAATGACAAGGCAGAAACTAAGCCAATGGTCACTTAGATAATAGAATAGATGGCAGTGACGACTAAAATTGACTTGTTTCAAATAAATATATTCGTGTCTTTAACGAGTGAATGTTATTAGGCGATAAAATAAAATGAGAAGTATTCATATAAAATGATTTTTCATCTATGAAGCAGTCTTGCACAACAAATTTGTTTCTTTCCTTTACTTACCTTTTCATAGAAATGACTCAGTCGTATCAATGCAACCCAGTTCTTTAATAAATGATAGTTTCCCCAAACTTCCAATGCAAATATTTACTTGTTATTTATGAATCATTTCCTGTATAATACTATGTTTTTACTAATTGCGTTTTTGAAAGAGTAAAATGCAAATAATGAGCAATTGTTTAAGACAATATTCCAGAAAATTCGCGAATAATGTAAAAAAAATACAACCGATATGGATTTTATTTATGATATGATGTTCCGAATTAGAGAGAGAGTAACTCTGTGAGTGCCATTTAATCTAATGTCGATTTACATCAGTATCAAGTGGAACTTATCCGAATCAGAAAAGATAAAAACCTATAGTATTTGCGGAAATCACTGCATATGAAAAAGGCTACAATGGTAACAACGATGAGAGTTTAACTGGGAATAATTATTGATATTCTATTTCCTACTTATTGAATCACCTGTGCTTAGAACAGATGGAAATACCATCAAAAGTAACATTAGAAGAGTCTTATCCAAATTTGTCTCAATTGAATATTCTTGCTAAGTCACAGCTCGTCTCTCGAGGACAAGAACCATATTAGATTAAGATGACTTTTTCAGTGTATCGACTATACGCTTAATGAAGTTCTTGAGTCTTACATTAGTTTACTTAATTTTATCTGAATATGATAATGAATGAATTAAAAAAAAATTGTCAATTTGAAAACAAGATTTTTCTTTCATATATTATGAAAACAACAAGAACTCTGTTCTTCTTTAATGTTGCAACAAAAAAAATTCAACCATCGATTACTATTCTACAATACAATTGAATCAGATTTCTTATTGTTGTGTAAGACATTACATCAGGCTTATTAAGTGTAGTTGTGTGTGAATTATTCTTCTAGAGGTTTCATTCATCTTGAAATTCGTTTTGAGTGTGGCAGGACAATGTTTAAGCTGTCGGATTTCATCGAACACTTATTAAGTTCTTAATAAACTGTTCGCATCAGACATGTTAAATAAACGATCATTATTAGAGGAAAGGAGAACTGATTTTATGCATCTTGAAGACAATATTTTGAGTCACTACAGGTAATTGTGTTACAGAGTCAGTTGTCATTATATATGCAAAATGTGCTCAGCACGTGACATGCTACATTCCGAAGTTAAAGACTGTCATTTGAGCATAAACTTCCTACAAATTATTAATGAATTGAATTAATGGAAAATAAATATATAGGCAATTGACATCTGAAATCTCTTGTGTCTAGAACTGCCAGTATAAAACAAGTTGTTTAGACAAAAAAAAAAAGAAGAAACTCTAGGCAAAATATGTCATTAATGTATGACTATTGATGTCCAGACAATGAACAAGAATTCATTAAAAGTTAATTAAATTCAAAATGCAACAAATAACACATTATTCACTATTAATCTAAGAGAAATTTGTAATGAGATCCTTTCATGGAGTATTATCAAAATAAAGTGATTTAATAGTAAAAAAAATAAAATTTTTCTCTGACCAAGTAGAGTTCTATCAATGAAATTTTATCTCAATAACCAAAAATAGTTTGTTTTTCTTTAAAGAATGATATTTATATGAAATATGTTCCGAACGTCATATTTGTTCTAAGTTGTTAGCTAATCACTCACTATTCTTGTTTCTTCTATTTGCATTTTATTATAATCAATGGATTCTAATGTCGAACGGCCATTCTTTTGTTTTTCCTCTGTTTTTTTTTGAATACATTTGTTGTGAGTTTTTCCCTAAATAATATATACAAGCTATACGATCTTTTACCGGATACATCAGCACACCAAGGAATCAATTAATTGACCAGGAGTCTTCGTTCATTTTATTTGCAAAGAGTATTGATTGCGTGCACTGATCACGACAAAGTCTTGTTAGCATTTTTCATGAGTGTACAGCTCTTTCTTGCATGGTTCATTACATAATTGATGTAAAAGAGGTTTGATGCTTTTCATTTCAATTGTCTGACTCAAAATTTCGAAACAAATAATATATCAATTTGTGTTAATTATACTCTAACTAAATCGCTCATGAGTGAAAATTGTGTACTTTTTATCTGATACTACTTCTTACTAGCCTTGATCAAAAATTCAATAGGTTAATATGTTTTTTTCTAAGCTCTTTTGCGAATTTAAGATAAGACTATTCAATTTTGTAAGTGTTCTTTTTGAATATTTCTGTTACTATAATGTTTATCGTTAACTAAAAGAAATATTGATCAAGCGATTAAATTATTGCCACACTACGATAGATACCTATTTATTAATGTTATGCTTAAACAGGTGGAAACAGATGACTGCCAACGTTGACAATTTGAATCACAGATAGCCAAATAGCTTCTTAATTGGATAGCACACCAATGAAAAAAGAGCCAAAATCTACTCAATCAACCAACACAACTTCTATCGATTTTTCTATTAAAATATTTAACCTTGAAAATAAATTTAGTTAGTATTTAGCATTCTTTTTTTCTCTCATGTAATCATTCACTATGCAACAAACAACAATATGAAGTTTTGTACTAGTAGCGATAATAGATGGCACTATTTATGGTACCATATAAACTTCTTGAAATTTTTTTTTGATTGCCATTAATTTTTCAATTAATTTTATTAATTTTACTTTAGAAAAATTTACTTATACTGTAGAGGTAGTTTTGTAATGGCTATGCAAGATTTTCAACGCTATGTATGTAGTTATTTATCACTAATATATATGTATATGACTCATACGTTTCGTTCGCTTGTTTTCAACATTTTTCATCATAAATATATGAAATAATAGGACAACTTCTATTATCGTGTTTTTGATTCGTAGATTGAAATATAGTATGCTTCGATTTATCTTCTTCTATTGAACATCGTCATTTGTTGATCATGTTTAACGATTGATACAATTTGTCATCTAGTTGGTCATCGTCTGTCATTACTTTGATCGTCGATTATCAATAACATTTTTCTCGTGTTTTTTTTATAATATCACTTTTTTCTTTGATCCATTGCTCTATCATCTGACTACCTTGAATAAACACATATTAATTTTATTTGTGTATATTTCTATCTTGCTGTCTCTCTCTCTATTTGATACATCAATATGGCCAAAATTATGTCAATTATTCGATATAAATACAAAGCAGACAGAGATTTTGAATCTGTACAATTCGAAGGAATGAGCTGTTCTCTTGGAGAACTTAAACGATTGATTGTCGAAAAATCATCACGATCAGGAACACATCATCCAAGAGATGATTATGATTTAATTATTAGTAATGCAACAACACATGAAGGTCTGTTTTTTATTCAATTTTTATTTATTTTGTATCATGTTATTAGTTTTTAAATATATTTAGAATACAAAGACAATTCTGATATGATTCCACGTAATACAAGTGTTGTTGTAGCTCGACGTATTCGAGGTACACTAGAATCATTAACACCAACATCAAATCAAAAACCAGTTGTATCATCAGATGATATTGTCAAAGAGTAAGTTTTATTTATTTGTCCTGCAAATTTGATTTGACATCATATTATAGGTATCTTCGACCTGCTATACTTCAACCAGCACAGCTTGTAAGTAAAACACTCGCTAGCTTGTGTCTGATTAGCTAAAGAACAATTTGAAGTGTCGATTATCATTTGATTACATATTTTAGCTAGAAACAAAGTTTTTATTATGAGATAGATAAAAGTCTAAAAAGAGCTCTAGCTCATCGAGAAATGTCTTTGATGTCTACCGAGACAATAAAATTCTTTCAAAACTTTCTTCATTTACTAGATTCGTATTTATAATTGAGATGGAAAGTCAAACAGTATGAAAAAGTTGGAAAAGTTTCATCATAATTTATGACTTCAAGAAAGACTTGAAGGACTTGTTATTTGTTATCCACGCATTATAAATTTGATGTATGTTTATGTTAAAATTCGAATTTACTTTAGACAATACCTTCAACAACAAATGTGTCATCATCATCATCATCATCTTCAGTTGTTGAAAGTAAAGCCATTCCATTAGAAATGCTTACTCAGGTTAGTTCGATTTTCTCTTCATTAAACACAACATTACTCTTTAATTCTTTCACTGTTAGTCGTCAAATAATACTGCGACACAAGAAAAGAGTGAAGATGAACGAATAAAAGAAGTCGTAAAAACTTCTCAATCACGATATTTGTAAGTTTTGTTTTGTTTCTATAAGTAATAAAAATGAATTGGTTTTTTATTAATTTTTTTTCTAGGACATCACATCGATCGAATACTTCATATATATGTCACAATTGTAAACAACCGGGTCACATAAGAAATCAATGTCCTCTTCTCCTGGTAGGTTCCACGCTTGGAATGGATCCATCATATATGATTATCTTCGATTATCAACGTCGATCTTTATTTTCTATTGTTATATTCTCATCCATTCCATTTTGTATACTAGATTATTTTATGGCTAATAATAAAGACGCTGTGCGTCATAGTTATACCAAGAGTGTGAATCACATTAGTAGTCATCCTTTTCTTTCTCACTTAGAATCTTCATTAAATAAAAATAATTATAATCATAATAAAGATAGTCCCTATTTTAATGGTTAACTTTTTTCTCTTTTTGTTCGTTCATGCATTTCTATCTTCAGCA